AAAGATCTGTTTCTGTGCTGGATGACTCTGACTCTGTGTCTCTTATCCAGGCTGCAGTGCGGAGCACATCCAATCTCATACACTTGTAAACTGATGCATATTAATGTATTCATTTCTTTAGAGGCTACAGGCAAACATATTATAAATGGTTGAAATAATTATTTCTTTTTCTGTGAATTTTGTAAGCTTATCTGCTGTAGCGGGAGTCTTGATATGCTTCAAATGTTATAATTAACGGATCAGGATAGTTCCTCTCAAGGCATTTTACACAATAAAAACATGAAAAAGAAATGAACCTTTTTCCTTACAGAAATTAATTTCACTAACTGGCAAGATCAGGAGAATGTGTATGGTGGTTAAATACAAATATATTTGGGACCATGGTGCAGAGATTTGTACCTTGGAATTAATATTGAGTGACCCTCTGGAGGTACACTTTTGCACCAGTACTACTCTTCGCCTGTTCCTTTTCCCTACACTGCTTTTTGCAGATAGGTAGATACGCAGCATACATACAACTTTTTGATGCATGAATAAAATTACATAGATTAAGTCAAAAGGCAATACTATAGGCAAATATGTGTGCATCCACTTTGGGCATATAAAGAATAGAACAATACGTTTTCAACGCTGAAAAGTTACTATCCCTGGAACTTCAAGGATACATCTAATGGAACAGAAAACAAGTGTTGGAGAAGGGACTGCACTGGGGTAAAAGCCACTATAATCCACACTCAGAGTAGGTATTTCCTAATCAACCTGTTCAGCAGTGTAGAGATGTTACTACACACCTCCTGGAGCATGTGAGACTTGAACCCAGGCCTCATCTCTGAGGTGGGGACACTACCAATGCACCACAAAGGGCCCTACCACACCCAGAGTATTACATATTGATGTCTGGACTCCGACACTGACTTTGTCCTCACCTTCTTCTCACCACCTCTGCAACAAGAAGCTGAGTGAAAAGGCCCATGGGTGACTTTCTCCACTCATCAGTAATCAAAGGTCAGTTCATGGTCACTTAAGAGCCTCAACCTGCCACCTCCCCGATTCCCGTTGGGTGGGAACGTTGATTAATTTCCTGACTGGGAGGCAGGTAGGGGCAACTTATGCGACCAAACTCCTTTGCTCGCCTCTAACGCCCCGAATCCCTCTCCCCATGACAAGAAGGTAAAAATCACGTATCTTCTCATTACTGCATCCCCCAAGGAGTAGGTCAGAACTGGCAATTTTAAAACCCAGAAAGATAAAATCTCAGTTTATGGTTGTAGTTGCGTGGGTTTAGAAGGTTAAGGAGTAATTTGGTGAAAGATTTTGAGGATATTAAGGAGAACAGATGAGGTAGCTTGAAACAAATTACTTCTATAACTCGGGAAGAATTGTCTAAATATTACATTCAGATCCAAAATGAAGTTGAGAAACACTTGTACACACAAAGGATGGTAAACATTTGGAATTCTTGTCAGCAAGTGAAAATATATTCTCTATAAATTGTTCATTTTAAACCTGAGAAAGATTTTTGTAAATTTAGGAATATAGAGTGAACATCAATAAAGAGAATTGATGTACAGATTAGCCATAATCCCATTGAATGATAGAATGGGTTTGAGGGGTTGAATAGCCTCCTGATCACATGCTGATAGATCAGACAAGAAAGAGACAGAGCAAAGAGGTGGGGAGAGGACTCAACTGCTTGAATTCTGACATGAAATTTGCTGATGATTAATATTTATCAAAACCTTAACAATTCGTGTCTCCTTGAATGACTGATAAAAAGAAGTAGAAACGAATTTTTTCATTAATACTCATTCTAGAAACTTACACATAATTGGTGGATGGGTGACTACCTTACCTAAGCTATGAGACGTATGAAAATAAATTTCAGGGTCAAACTTAGAATAGTAAGGCACTTTCTGTTGCATTGGGGTCAGTATGATCCTGTTAATTTTAATTCCATCTACAGCATCGATGAGCCGTGGAATTAAGAGAGGATTGAACATTCCATTAGCACTACTTTAGAGGCCAGATTACAGGTTATACCTATGTTCTCACTCCCTTCAAAGCAATGGGACAACATGGCTGGGGATTGGTTCAAAATGTAAGCAACAGTGCTGAGAAAATGAAATCTAGCCTTATTTCCTTTAAATCTCAAAAATGCCAATTCTATCTTTTACCTTATTTGCAGGAACTCTTGAATAAGGACTAACAATTGAAATGTGTTGCAGAAACCTTTACACTCTCAAAGATAATTTGCAGTAAAAAATTAATCAAGTGAAGAGGATATGTAGCCAAGATAATGTATTCCATTTTGTGTGCGCTTTTTCTTGGCAATCATTCTGAGATGCAGCATTGATACCATGTTGGAGATTTCACCCTATTACGGAGAGATATAATGGTCTCGCCTCAGCAGTTTCTTACCTGTTGGCATTGGGGCTAAAGTAGATGTTTGATCGCAATTGTGGCCTGAGGTCAGCTGAATTTCTTTCGATGAATGCTTTCAACCTTGTGTTTTTTTTCAAAGTTGCAAATGCTGCTGCAAGCAATTCTGTTGATTGCACATGAAGTGAACAATATATGCACCCGTCTTGACTTTAATCAGGAGGCATGCACCAAGGCAGCCGATCTCTTATCAGGGGTCAGCTCATTAACAGAGCTCCTGGCTCTGAGTCAAAAGATTGTGGGGTCAACTTGACACCTAAGACTTGAGCACAAAATCTTGGCTGAATACCAGTACAGTACTGAGGGAACCCTGTATTGTGAGCAATACTGTATTTTGGAAGAGGTGTTAAACAAAGACCCTGTTTGATGTCTTAACAGTTTGGTGATTAAAGAGTGAAAATGCAGAAATTATCTTTTTTTAAAATGTATCTTTTAGTTTGATAATAACAACTCAGAATATTTAAACAATGAATTCAGGAGCTTGCCAAAATGTTTGTAGTCTATGCTAGTGGAATTTTCCATGTTAGTGCTTTGGCAGGTTAATCTTTGAAGTGTTCCCTTGGTGTCAGTAACAGCTTCTTGAGCATTAAAAATGTAGCAAATTTCATATGACCACAGGAGACATTGGCTCTTAGATAAAGGGTTGTTTTGATCTTTGTTTAATGATGTTTTAGTTAAAAATGGAGTGGCAGTTATCAAGGTCACAGAGACTTTGAAAATTTCCTCAACAAAGGTTTAGCACTTGATGAGAATTTCCTCGATCAAATGCTACCCACCACCACCTCTGCATAATCTCAGCTCAATACAAGGTTGAAAATGCTATCCAACAGTTGAAATCAAGCCAGGTTGCTGGTACAGCAGAAATCTCTGCAAAAGTGCTAAAGTATGGTGACCTTGCCCTCATCTGGAAGGAGGAGAGTGTGCCAGGTTATCTTCAAGATGCTGTAATTGTGACCATTTCTGGTAACAACAGACTATAGTCCCTGCTGTCCAGCACAAGGCAGGTCATTGCATAAAATCACCCTCAATCACTTCCTTTCAATAGCTTCTATCAGAGTAACAATACAGGTTCCATCCTTCAAGAGGCACAGGGGACATGAGCTTCACAGCAAGACAAGTTCAGGAAAAGTGCTGAGAGTAGCAGCAACCCTTATACATAGCTTTCTTCGACCTCACGTAAGCCTTTGTCTCTGCCAACCAGGAGGGAGAATGGACTCCTCAAATTCATCTCTGCCCTCTGTCTAATGCATGACGGCACATCCCTACTAATGGATCCATCACAGATTGAATACGTGTGCAAAATGGGCTCAAGCAATTCTTGTAACAACACATGTCTTCATTTCCTTGCCACACCATTCTGCCTCATATCAATGAAGCTTCCTGTGTTGGTGTGGAGCTAGTCTACGGACAAGCAAGAGACATCTCTAGCCCAGAAACAAAAGCATCCTAACATCTGTTGTCAAACTGCATTATGAAAATGACAGTTGTGTTATGCACATTCAATGCACATTCTGAGCACTAAACAAGAATTGATGTACTCATGGAGGCACATGAGAGAACGGGCCTTGTGCTAAATATCCAGAAGACAAAGGTCCTCTCCCAGACAGCTCCTTCTATACAGCACAGCTCCCCAAATAAGAGAGGACATTTTGATCCTGTAATGCCTGGCCTGCATGTTTCAATTGTAATTATTTTTAAAAATCATTGCCATTTTTCCTTTTTGAATATATAGCCAAAGTTATGTTGAAAGATTGAGAGCGGGACTAACTAGCAGCACTTTCAGAAAGCCAGCACGCTGGACTGATTGACTTCTTTCTATATGACTGGCTTGTGACAGAGTGAGGCAGAAAATGAACTTACTACCAGTCATCACTTAATAAGTCGAGTTCTTAGTAGACAGAGACAAGCTGAGTCATAGCTTTCTTCATTAAAAGGTGGTGAATGTTTGGTACGATGGGACAAGTATGTTGTGGCAATGAGTAACTTTTACCAATCTAAGACTAACTAGGAAATCACAAATAAAAGTATGACAAACATGGCTTGAGGTTACTTCTTAACATAATGTATTGTTTATCCTAGTAGTGATATTTCACGACAGAGAAACATCATGCAAAAATATTAAGCAGTCATCCCCCAATATTGCCAAGAGCCATTTTTAAGTTATGTGTCATTGTATTAAAAGATTTTGCTTAAAGGCAAGTGTGTTCCAGTTTTATAAGTTAAAGTACTTACCAAGGGTTTTTTTTCAAAAGATTTATACAGACCTCCATCAGCATGTATATGTATGCAATTTGCCTTAAATAAAATATAAATGTACTGAGTGTAAACAATCTTCCTAACTTTGAAAACTAAGGTCTGCAAAGAGCACAACGTACAAGTCCTTTTGGACTGAGGATATTTGTGGAGTGCCATATAATTGACCTGTTTTGCAGCCTGCAGTCAGCAGAAGGAGGGAGAACAGTCGCCTCGGTTGACAGTACAGATACATTGACACACATGGTATTAGCTTCAAAAGAGATTCAGGGCCTCACGTCACAATGTCGTACAATTTTCCTTGACAGGAGTTTCCCCTCGTTGTCATCAGGAGGACTGAATGTTACTGTGGTTTTGCCACAACTGACTTCACACTTCACGACATTGCGAATGACCAACTCTGTGGAAAACTGTCAAGTGACACTACAACCGAGTTCTTGGGAGATGAGAATTATTGTGTTATCTATCAGACTCCTGTCCAAGGTAAAACTGAACATTCTGTGATGTGTTCACTTGAAACTAAAATACAATATATTTTTGTACTAGTCAGATCCATGTATTCAGCTGACAGTGTGTAACCACATTATAAAGATATTTGAATTTATCAATGGAATCTTTTCATAAATTTTTTTGTGTCATTTCTTGTTTATACATGTGAATTTCTAATCAATGTTAATAGAGAGTGGAACAATACCCAATATGAGTACAAAGTGTTTGTTATTGATAACTTGGGTATAAAACTGCTTTCAGTTACTGATTCATGGACCATCAATTATGTCCCTTAGATTCAACTTCAAGAGTAGTTTCAATGTAGTTTCATGTTTCGATGTCCCTGAGGCCTTCTGACCCCTCTGACAAAGATTAAACATTTGTTGCCAAATTAGAGAGTGATGTTTGATAGGCGAACAGTTTCAATCTAAAATCTAACACATCCGCAGGCAGAAGATGGAGCAATTTTGCACTTAGTAGTTAATGCTGGATTTGAACCTGAATGTTAAGTGACGGCTGAATGTTTAATCCAAAATCCCAACCACCCCTGTGTTAATGCTTTATACATGAGTCTATCTATCAATTAGCTATTCAAGTAAACCAGAGGGATAAAAAAGCTTAGAAAAGAAGAACAGGACCCAATTAATGTGCTGCACATACTTTAAAGAACATTAAAACCACAAGAGATAATACACACCCATGCTGGGTATGTTTTTGGTGGATGGCTAACCCATCCCTATCCCATATACACATAAGCTCACCTCCATAATGCAGGGGGTGGGTAGGCACCAAAACTGACAGCTTATCCACCATATATAAATACATCACCAAGGGTCAATTAAGCTTGTTAGAAGTTTTGTTTTCCCTGATAACACACTGACTGCCTCACGGTACAGTCGATATGGATGAACAGGCGCAAATGGAATTCACATCTATTAAAAGGAGTTCATAAAACGCAGGAAGGAAGGGAGGTCTTCAGGGTGTGCCCTTTGTGCATTGGGGCAAGCCCTCACCTGAAGATAACACCGATCCTTCCCATCTCCTGATCTATAGAATCATTCCCTGAATGCCGCCTCCCCATTGCTTCCCACCTCACAGCTTTCCATACCCTCCCTGAGCCAATTATCCAGACTTTCCTTTGGCCAAGTTTCATTGGGCCTTCTCAAGGTTCTGCCTGCAGTATCAGTAACAGCCACTACTGAGCTCTTGGCATCACAGACTGGCTCACAGCTTCCAAGGGCAGAGCATCCTCCCCTCAATTAGGCAATGTAACCAATGGGTTATGGCTGTGGCAGTGTCTTCCAATGGATGAGCCAATTTATTCATCATGCACTGCTGTGATTTTCAGCTCTATATATTGGTCTTGGGCAGAGTATGGCAAGGGAACTTCAATTAGCATCAATCTTCATGGACTAAGAGAGTGGGTGTAAGGAATCAGTACTCCTTGTGGTTTAGTGACCCTTGTTGGAAAGGGCTTACATGTGAGGGTGAGGTCAGAGTTCAGTGTAATTTGCATTGTCCTGGACCATTTAATAAGCATGGCCCCTGAATGAGATATAGATTTCCTGAGAGTGCTTAATATCCCAACTTTCCTCTGGAAAGATGTGCAAGTTGAGAGTGAGGGTGAGTGGAATTACTGTGAAAACTTTGGCTCACATTTTTTCCTGGTTTAGGTAGAATTTGTGATATTCACAATTATTGCAAAGTGCAATCTGTGCAGAGTCGTAATTATTACACTTTCTTGGGGGTTTCCTGCTGGCAGCACTGATGCGAAAACATCATACCTAGATAAAGTCAATCTTAATACACATTAGTTATGGTCCACACACCAGAAATATATGTAGTCCAGTTTGAAGACGTGTGATATTGTGAGGATTGCATGAAAGACAACACATTGACCTCTCAATCAGGACAACCTGCAAATCCAACATTAATCGACATTTGTCCATGTTGGGCTGATTCAAAGCACTTTGGATGTTCATTCTGCATACACATTTTCAAATCTGTGTTTCTTTATTTTCTGAGCAATGTTTGTGTGCAGAGGAATAAAGAGTCCCAAAAAAGCCAACTTTTGGAAAGTAATCACACCTTTCTTTTTGTGAAAGGTTCATTTTAATCCAATCTTTTGCAGTGTTCAATCTTCGGCTGAAGGTAGTGTATATTCAATTATGCCCTGGCCAATTATACTGCTGTTATTGTGTGGCCACGATGGTTTTAAATGTGACAAGAAGAAGCTTTGGTACAACTGTGGCTGCTATGCATGACAAGCCCCCACTGCGGTAATGAGTGAATGCACAGTGACTGATGCCGTTGACAGATGGGAGCAATGATGGAAATAAAGCAGCAAAGAAAGCAAAAGGGGACTAAGACTTTCTGTCAAAATCGACAAGCTGATAAAATAACAAAAATGAATGGGTTGTATGTAATGTTGCAGGAAATGGAGGAATGACAGTTTGATTGAAGGACATGATCTGACAATCTAATTTTTTCAATGCCCTGCCTATCTTCAATTCTCAATGTAACGCAGGAAACTTTTTCATGAGTTCAACAATATTACACATTATTCTCTTTGTAAATCTCAGAAATCTCAGGTCTGAGCAGATTAAAATGCTCACTTTTCAGTTTGAATATTCACTCACCAAATCTGGGAGTTCACAACTCTTCTTGTCCCATGCCCACTGGCACATGAGGCAGACAGAGGATGTGCTTATTCCTGTTTCCATAGTTAGATTGTCTTGAAACAGGTCATCAGAGGGTACAGCGTGAAAGATGCCGCTCCTTATCAAGAATGACTGACCAGGAGATTCTCCTAGTGCCTGCTATAGGCATATCAGGAAGATTTACAGGTTAATAATCAACCTGATTGACCATGTTGTTACAAATGATTCTGCAACGACCATCAAGTCCTGGAGCAGTATTCGAACCCGGAGCTTCTGGCTCAAACGCAGATAAGTTTCTGTGACCAGACAAGCTCACAATTAACAAGGACATAAACATCCAAACGTGAACATGATCCATGGCCTGTTAACAGTACACCACTTTTATTCAAACTAACTCTTCACTATAATTAACAAAAATAGAAATGCTGTTCAAAGTGTGAAAAAAATGCAGAAACTAGGTGAGGATAGGGAGGAAACATTTTCTTTTTAAAATGAGCTGTTTTGTAAATCTCAGATGTGATTTGATTAATGTTTTCTTTTCTTTTGATAGAATATCTAAAGAGAAACATTGCAAGAATGAGCAGCCATTTTATTTTTGACTCTGGGCCCAAAATCCCAAAATGGCAATTACCTGGGCTGAAAATCTGAATTCCAAACCAGATTCAGAGTGTGAAAGAGAAGCAAAAAACAAATATAGGAAAGTTCACAAGAGAAACCCTCAGTAGACTGGAACATAAATAAGTTGTCCATGATCAATCCATGACAATCGCACGCCACAGTGGAATAACATCAAAGACTGCCAGAGAGACTAAAAATAAACATCTTTCACCAAAAGAGAAAACAAAAGAATAATTTTCTTTAGCATATGATCTGCAGCATATGCAACTGCGCAATTTGATCCTACGGGATTGTGTGGGTTTAGAAATAAATAGGACAAATTATGCCATTGCCCAAGTGTAGGATAATTTACTTTCTAGCTTATCCTTGTGTAAAGCAATCAGATTGCTCTCAAATTAAATGACAAGTTTTTGTTTCTCAAATTACATCTAACAGTCCAATCAATCTATGGTCCTCTCTGCAATAAAACTGCATCAGGAAAATAAGTCAGGAAATCATTTCATAGATTTCCTCTTCTTTTCTAGACACCAGATGTACAGATAGGAAGTTCCTGCCTACAAAAACAAAGGCAATGGTGGCTCTCTCCAGCTTCCCAGGTGCTGGAAATACATGGGCACGGCATTTGATAGAACACGCCACTGGATTCTACACTGGAAGTTATTATTTTGATGGAACTCTTTATAACAAAGGTATGTGTTAGTTCTACTCCATAGGTCCAATTGTTGAACATTAGCGCTGGAGTCAATCTTTACACACTTGTATATTTATTTACAGATTACAAGCATGCATCTCCTAACTCAAAAACAAAACAGTAAATGCCTGGTTCGTGGTCACCTCCTGCATTAATAAAACATAATTAATGTATAAGTAAGAGGTAACAAGGTGGAGAGCTGGATGAACACAGCAGGCCAAGCAGCATCAGAGGAGCAGAAAGGCTGACGTTTCGGATCTGGACCTTTCTTCAGAAATGGGGGAGGGGAAGGGGATTCTGAAATAAATAGAGAGAGAGGGGGAGGCGAATGGAAGATGGATAAAGGAGCAGATAGGTGGAGAGGAGACAGACAGGTCAAAGCGGCAGGGTTGGAGCCAGTAAAGGTGAGTGTAGGTGGGGAGTTAGGGTGGGGGTAGGTCAGTCCAGGGAAGATGGACAGGTCAAGGAGGCGGGATGACGCTGGTAGGTAGGAGATGGGGGTGGGGCTTGAGGTGGGAGGAGGGGATAGGTGGGAGGAAAGACAGGTTAGGGAGGTGGGTACAAGCTGGGCTGGTTTTGGGATGCGGTTGGGGGAGGGGAGATTTTGAAGCTTGTGAAGTCCACATTGATACAATTGGACTGGAGGAGGCCCAGGATGGACATGTTGTCCAAGGAGTGGGTGGGGGAGTTGAAATGGTTTGCGACTGGGAGGTGCAGTCGTTTGTCGCGAACCGAGCGTAGGTGTTCCACAAAGCGGTCTCCAAGCTTCCGCTTAGTTTCCCCGATATAGAGGAGGCCATGTCGGGAACAGCAGATACAGTATACCACATTAGCAGATGTGCAGGTGAACATCTGTTTGATGTAGAAGGTTTTCTTGGGGCTTGGGATGGTGGTGAGGGGGGAAGTGTAGGGGCAGGTGTAGCACTTCCTGCGGTTGCAGGGAAAGGTGCCGGGGTGGTGGGGCTGGTGGGGAGTGTGGAGCGGACAAGGGAGTCATGGAGAGAGTGGTCCCTCCGGAAGGCAGATAAGGATGGGGAAGAAAAAATGTCTTTGGTAGTGGGGTCAGATTGCAGATGGCGGAAGTGCCGAAGGATGATGCGTTGGATCCGGAGATTGGTGGGGTGGTCTTTGTATAAGTAACATTCTTTGCCTTACTTCTATTCAACAACTACCTGTATGAACCTTATGGTAAAGTCATTGCTTTAGAGAACTAGCTGCTTTATTATCCAAAGCCTCAAGGGGAAATAACAATTTCATCAATTATATTGATTGTTCACCAGTTTCAGTATGACAATTACTTACATTTATAAGAAATCAGTTTTTATAAGGCTTGGCATAGTTGTGCAGAAGTAGTCAGAGCTATTGCTTGATTAACAGTTTGGAGAAAACTAAAAACAAATTCAGATTTCTAATAGTATAATTCATGTAAACTTCAGTTACAAATTGATAAGAAGTCTGTTCCTCAAACGTAAAGCCAAAGGAATTAGCCATGCAAATGTACATTTTTATTGTGAGTTATAACAGTCTAATAAAAGATTGATTTTGCTGTATTCTGAAAACACTTTCCTTCAACCTATATCTAGATGACTACAAGCAAATGGATTTAAGTGTCCTCATAGTATCTCCTCTGATTGGATTGTATCAATGTGTATTTATGAAAAGAAAATTGTGTTTCATAAATCTGTTGGAGTAATTTTGAGATTATATCTTGCAGGGTAGATAAGGGAGAACCGGTAGATGCAATATGAATGGATTTTCAAAAGCAAAAATAATAAGGTACCATCCAAGAGGTTATTGCACAAAATTAAGCCTCATTCGACTGAGGATAATATATTGGCATATTTGAGAATTGGTTAATAGATAAGTCATTTTCACGTTTGCAACTTGTAAATAGTGAGGTGCTGCTGCAGTCAGTGCTTAAACCTCAGCTTTTTATAGTCTATAGCAGTAACACAGTTAGTTGGGCCTGTAAGGTGTGAGGAAAATGCAGAGAGGCTGCAAAAGGATATAAACAGGTTGCGTGAGACAGAACATGGCAGATGGAATATAATATGAAGTTACCAGTTTGGTAGATAAAATATGAGAGGGAATAAATTTGATATATGCTAAGAGACTGGGATATGTTGATATTCAGAGAGACCTGGGTGTCCTTGCACATGAATCACAGAAAGGTAACATTCAGGTACAGCAAGCAATTAGGAAAGCAAGTGGTATGTTATTTTATATTATACAGGGATTGAGGCATACAAATACATAAGTATTACTGCAAATATATCAGGCCTTGGTGAGTTACACTGTACAATTTTGATCTCCTTACACAGTAAAGGGATATATTTTCCTGAAAGGGACAACAGCAAAAGTTTGCCAAACAGATTTCTGGAAGAGGGGCTTATACTATGAGGAGAGACTGAGCAGACTAAGTTTACACCCTGAAGCTTCGATGAATGAGCAGTGATTTAACTGAACCATATAAAATGATTAAAGGGTCTTACAAGGATAGATGCTGGGAAGATAGTATCCCCTATTTGACTGTCAAAAACTGGGGATGTGGGGCAGGGTAGTGGTGGTGACAGCCAAAGAATAAAAGGACAGACATTTAGAACTAAGGTGAGAACTTTCTTCTCTTACATGATTATAGAGCTTGGAGATTCTCTATCCCCAAGGCTGTGGATACTCATTTAAGGCAGAGATTGGTCATTTTTAGACACCAAGAAAATCAAAGGATGTGGGAATAATGTGGGAAGATTGCATTGAAACAAAAGATAAGCCATAATTTTATTGATTGGTGGAATGAGCTTGAATAACCTACTCTTATTCGTATTTCTTATTTTCTTTGAATAGCACTTTGAGAAAATCAATGCCCCTGGATAGCTGAAGCCTCTACACTCAAGATCTGAATCTTCTATTTGTTATAGCATTTGACTAGACAAAAAATTCCTGAGCATGTCAATTGAAGAAGACATATGTGGCATCTTATTTGCTTTAACATTCACAGAGGATAAAAAAAACATACTAAGATGTTTATGTGATTTTGAATTGAATCTGAATTGGATACGAATGAAACAATGTGAACATATCTAGCCATTTTTTATGTTTTATTAAGCTAAGTAAGCACTGTATTTTAGAGTCACAGAGATTCTACTAGTAATTTTAGCTATCTTTGGTACAACTATTTTGTGTAGCCTACAGATTTTAAAAAAAAAATTTATGTAATCTAGATTCAGTTAACATTGTATCACAAAATGATACAATACACAGCACCAAACAGATGTACATTTAGGATTGATCGTACGTAGCATTCCTAATAGTTTCAGTACAGCATCAGGGTCATTTGCAAAGGTATTTGTAACTCTCATGTATAAGAAACAATTATGCCATGATTAGGCCTGACTCCAAAGGAATTAAAATCCATTTGAATAGCCATGCATAATTCTAGATGATGTAATATGTAACATTGCTGTCCATTCCTCAATTGGCAATGCTAATTTTTTAAAATTATTCTGTTAGGTTTCAAAGGGGAAAAGGACTACTGGAAAAGTGGCCGGACTATATGTATAAAAACTCATGAGAGTGGGAAAAGAGAAATTGAAACCTTTGATGCTGCCATCTTGTTGATCAGAAACCCTTACAAGGCATTGATGGCGGAGTTTAATAGAAAGCGCGCTGGTCATCTGGGATATGCATCGGAACGCCACTGGAAGAGCAAAGGTAAAATGGAATGATGAAAGACCGTGAAAAATGATATACAGTTAACCATTACAGACCCAGTGTCAGTGCTTATTGAGGCCTTTTGATCCTTTGTGTAGTGACTGTGTTCACAAGTGCACTGTTGTGCCTACAGTGGTTCACTGCCACTTCCTGTTAGTTGGCAAGTGCTCAAGCATCAAGTGAAGACAAGAAATTTCTGAAATGAGTGAACAAATTTCTGAAAGGTTGTGAATTCCAATAATGCTTGCAACAACATGCATTTCTATAGTATCTTTAATGGAGAAAGAGTTTTCGGGAGCTTCACAGAGGGAGAGGGGCGTAGCCACAGTGAAGGAATTGTCAGAAGTGACTGTAAACTCAGTCAGATAAATTAATTCCCAAGCTCACTGTCCCTGAAGAAGTAAAGAGTTCAATCTGGAAATAGTGAGGTAATTGAAGAGGCATAGTTGAAATGGCTGAAGATGTTCTTTCTGACTGTGGAAGGAGGGAGCGGGAGATACATAGATGGCCAGGATTAAATGACCAGACAGAAAACCAGGAGACATAGACTTAAAAAGGTTTGCAGAATATTGCAAGAATATTGCATTTGTGAATCAGATCCTGGAATGAGAAACTCTTAGCTGCAAGTGTCAGTTTTCTGAAAGGCAGATTGCAGAACGACCTTTTGTTCATTCAGAAAAGTGGCCAACAAAACTCCTCAGCTGAAACGATTCACTTACACACAGAGAAGCAAAGGAAGACTACTGAGAAATTCCTGCCTGTTTTAGGGCAGATAGCCTGGCAACACTGGAACTGGCACATTCCCTGATTCCTCTGGACAAGTGACCCTGACACTTGAGAGAGAGGTCAAGGTAGAGCGATGGCTAAAACAGTTTTCTGAAGGGTGCAGCCCCAGGAATGATGGGCCTTTGAGCCAAATGGTGATGGGCTAATATCACTGGACTGGTGATCCAGAGACCCATGTTAATGCCCTGAGGATAAGGTTTGAATCCCACCAAGTCAGTCACTGGAATGTGAATTCAATGAATAGCATCTGGAATAAAGTTATTTTTAGCACTGGTGACCATGAAATTATGGTTCACTAATATTCTTTAGGGAACGAAATCTGTTGTTCTTACCTAGTCTGTCTGTCATGAGACCACAGACCCACAAACATGTGGTTGCCTCTTAACTGCCCTTTGCAGTGACATAGCAAGCCACTCAGTCAGGACAACAGGGGATGAACAAACAAAAAAAACAAGTTTCAGCAACTGTTAGGAGCTGAGGCAAGACACAGGTTGGCAAAGCCACAAAGCAACAATTGGCTTTGCTGACATTTAATTGAATGGATTGAACCCTAGCTTCGTAGGAGTGCATGCTTAACATTTCGGGTAAGTTCGCTGAATGTTTCATGTCCTTAGCAATAGGGAGATGAGACCAATTGCAGCGACTTTAATACAACCCCGAATGAGGCTAACTAATTCAACAGCTGCTGCATCTTGTAGCAAATACTTTACCTGTCTGTCTGGTCCTGAGGCAAACCAAAAAACTACAGATGCTGGCAATCTGAAACAAAACAGAAATTGCTGGAGAAACTCAGCAGTCTGGCAACATCTGTTAACTCTGCTTTCTACTGCAGATGCTGCCAGACCTGTTGAGTTTCTCCAGCAATTCCCAATTTTGTGTCTGGCTGTGCACACAGCTGTTCCAATGGAGCAACTGACTTCAAGCAAAATGTTACTGATACTTCTACAATGTGGGTTAAGTAAACCCATAAGATGAGGATTCATACTGTTTTATATGCAAAATTAGTGAACAAATTCAAACTTTCTCTCTGCAGAATGGCCTGAATTTGTGAACACTTATGCCTCCTGGTGGGCCTCCCATACTTTAGATTGGTTGAAATATTGCAATCGAGTGTTGGTGGTTCACTATGAAGATTTGAAGAAAAACCTATTGCCTCAGTTGAAGCGGATGGTGGAATTCCTGAATGTTGCTGTGTCAGACGACAGGCTGTTGTGTGTTGAAACGCAAAAGGATGGAAACTTCAAGCGATCTGGGCTGAGGCAGAAGGATTTTGATCCATTCACCCTTGAAATGAAGAGTGTAATTAATAGTCACATTGAGATGGTGGATGACGCTCTCAAAATGAAAAATCTCACAGGACTACCAGAGGAGTATCTGCCCAGATGATGTAGCTAAAGAGGTAAACTATGTACCACCACTTCAAGCCTGCATTCTCCTAAGTTACTGCCAGGCTGATAACAGTATTACAAGAGCAAAAGAGAGAATAAAGATTAGGGTGTTGTAACAAGAATAGATCAATAGCCTCACATGCTGTAGAGGACAGGGACCTTGGGTCATGGAGAAGTGTGTCTTATCTAATTGGCTTGTGCAACACAAAATATTTTGGCCTAAGTCCTGTTTTCATGTGTCTCTGGAATGTTTATAGCACAGTTAGATGTCCTGTATCTCTTTCCGTTCCAGGATGTTTTCCCACACAGTAAGACCGAAATCCGAAAGTATTTGTGGCCTATTTACAATAACGTACAATTCAGTTTTTTAAATAATGTGGAAATATTTTCCAACAACTCATCCAGACATCCCCATGAGGTGATTGTGAAAACATTGACCGTTTCATTATAAATGTAAGATAAATTATAAATGAGAAAGGAGCTGTTGCCCTTTGTGATTAATGGTCTATTGTAGCAAAGATTCACTCGGAAAGGTTTAATTCTTTGTTTTACTGTGAAAATAGAAACAGAGCTCAATTAAATAAAAATCACTGAATGATGCCTTCAAGCCTAGAAATTGCTGTTTGCTATGAGAATGCATCTATGTGAAATTCTTCTGTCTGCTAATTTAATGAAAATATTAACTCATTTATTTTCAATTAGTGGACAGAGGAATACCATACAATTGTGTTAAACATTTGGACATTAAAATCAAAGAGTAATTTTTAAGCTGTAGTATCTGAAAAATCCAGTTCTACTTCTACATTTAGTACATTTTTCTTCTATCCTTTTCTTATTTGCTTTTTTAAATTGGATCAGCTCACTAATCTCCAATGCAACTATTTGCCTTAAAATAAACCTGTAAAGGACCTTTCAAAACATGCGATTGAAACTGATTACAGCATTTCTGGTTCATGTATTTCCCTATTTAGTTTCAGGAAATAAGTTAAAATGTGACCATTCTGAAGACAAAAAAAAAAGCTGTAAAAGGTGACCTCACACAGCATGTCTGGTTTTAATGTTATTATCAGAATGCATCAAATACCAGATAAAGCTCTCAAAAACAGAAATTCCTGGAGGAACTCAACAGGTCTGGCAGCATCTATGGAAAGAGAATAGAATTAACGTTTCGAGTCCAATGACCCTTCTTCAGAACTGTGTAGTAAAGAAGGGTCACTGGACTTGGAAACATTAACTCTGCTTTCTTCCCACAGATGCTGCCAGACCTGTTGAGTTTCTCCAACAACTTCTGTTTTTGTTTGTTTCAGATCTCCAGGATCTGCAGTTCTTTGTTTTACTTTAGCAGAGAAAATTTCATCCTGACTCGACAAAATGACCACAATCCCAGTGATTTACTTTGATATGCCAACAGTTAATGGCCTAGGTACAAGTACTTTAGTTGAGTGGTTGGTGAAAATTTTAGGCAGCAGTACATTTTTTTCATTAGTACCAATCTACAGTTGGCTCAAAACTGCAGTTGCTAGATTGACACCTGTACCTGTAATCACAAAACCATTGAATGTGTTGCCAATTCCAAAAGGGAGATCTGCGCATGTTCTGTTCACTCAACAGAGTCAAAATTAGAAAAGCACTGGCTGGATTTGTCTAATATCCTTCTTACTGGTCTCTCAGATTTTATCTCCCACACAATGTTGATACCTATTCCAGAGAAGATCCCATTCACGCATTCACTCCTTTAACTTGCAGTTCTCTCCCAGCTTTCCATCCTCCAGCGTATTGACCTCAAAATTCTTGACTTCACATTGAAATGTTCCTGCTATTCTTATCAAGTCCTTTGTCCTTCCAACTGTTCCCTGATGGATCCACCTTACCATCAGTGGGAGATCCTTCAGTCATCTCAGCTCCACTCTGGAATGGCCACTCTTTAAAACTCTCCAGCTCGCTACCTATCTCACCACCATCCCAAACTCCCTTAAAACCTATGGGGAACTTTCTAACTGAAATAAAGATAGATAAACGTAAGTTGTTGTAGTTATTGCCATTTAAAATCCTTTGCTAACATTGAAAGAATTGGGATGGCTGTAATCTTTAAAAATAATCAAATTACCATTTGAACCTTCATCCAAGTTGATATAGGTCAGAGACTCAATAACTCACTGAGGTAAGCTTTTCCAAAATTCTTCAGACTACTGTAGGACAGCATCGCATCGCACTGCTTGATCATTCTGGTCAGTTAATTGTTATGAGCTAGTTGAATAAGTGCAAATAATTTCTTGTACTGGCGTTGCCCAGACTCTTGATTAACTGTGGTTCAGTGTATGTGATGCAATTTATGATGTGGAAACTGGCCAAACTTATTTCAATATGATTGTCTACTTTGATGAATTCCAATTTGTGAGTCACTATAATATTGTTGTTCAAATAATTTTATGGTTATAAATGTAAATAGCATTAGCCCCTGCGCTTGTTAATGCAATTAACTGAACAGCCACTACATGGGAATTGTAAGGCAAGTTTATTATAGTGGAGACTTATAGCAAATCCTTCTGAGCAGATTATATCCTCCTGTTTTCTGAGGACAGGCAGCAGATGAGGTAGGTTTTCAACATGAGGAAAACTGGCATGAGTTATAAGAATTTAATTTTTTTCTGGGAAGTTAAAAAGCCACCCTTTGGAATCCTTCCTGATTCTGCATTTGTTTAAAATGAGCCATTATGACGGGAAAGCACCGGTGACCCCCTCTCTGGAAACTTGAACAGTTCACTTGTTTTGTGGAAGGCCAAATTAATTTTGAGAATAATCTCCCTAAAATGTTGAATTTTTTACTCCCTCTAATAGGCTATCAGCCATGTCTTTGCCTCTTTTGACTTGAAGATATTTACCAAGCTTAAAACTGATTAACTTTCAATCTGCTGTAGACTTGTAAGACTTTGAAGTGTAATATGAAAATGCAAGTTATTTTACCAAAACAAAATTATTTAATCTAATAAATTTCATGTAACACCAACATAAGCTTTTCATTTCCACAAATAACCATTTTCTGATCCCAATATCGGTAAAAACATTTAGTATTTTGTGTATGTAGCAATCAGTGTGATGATAGTGAATCGAGTAAGAGGTTTGGCAGCCCATGCCTCAACTTAAACATCCATTCCTTTCACTTCCATTAATGATGAATTATAGCTGAAGTGTGAACCAACAAGATGTAGTGAAGTAACTCGCCGAGGCATTTCTAACAGATCGTCACAAACCAAAGCCCTTTTCACCCAGAAGGATGCGGTCAATAGATACATCGGAATATTGTCACCTCCTTGTTCTCCTCCAAGTTACGCATGATATTGACTTAGCAATGTATTGATGTTCCTTCATTGTCAGGAAGTCAAAATCCTAGAACTCCCTACTGAACAGCACTCGGGGAGTACCTTCACTAGATGAACTCTGGCGGTTCAAGAACTAAGGCCCCCAATTGCCTTCTAAAGGGCACCTAGGGACAGGCAGTAAATTCAGGCTTTAACACTAATGGTCACATTTGCAAGGGTGAATTCTAAAAGGAAAGTATTCAGTGATCTAGTTAGACAGCAAAGATGATTGAGAGCAGTTATGTTAACAGTGATTGAATATTGACAAAGTGGGCTCGAAATGAGGTGGTTGAAGATTTCAGCACTAATGCAAAATAGCAGGTAGCAATTAACAGGCCAAGAGAAAGTATATCAGGAGAGCAAAAAGAGTGGGGTGCCATTTCACAATGACCTGCTTTGTTCCAGGGCTGAAGTTGAATTTTATCCCCAAGGAGTCTGCATAAAATGCAATTTTTGCACATTTTTAAATTTGAATGTTTCCTCCTTTTCCTGTATTGATTAACTTGCATCATGGCAAACCAGAAAATTAACAAACAGAACTTTTTAAAATTATAATCAGGCTGTTATGGTAACATTTACTGAATTAGTATGAGAACTTAGAAATGATTTTTCCTTTAGATAACCAACATTAAACTTTCCCATTAACAGTAAAACAAAACCCTCCATCCACCAAGGTACATTTTCATTTCAAAACAGAAGAATTAAAGAAAAAAGAATGGAAGCATTGCTTGGTGACATACTTTGGAAACTCCTCACCTTGCTAACCTCATTCTTTAATAGAAATAAATCTCCTGCATTAATAGTCTTTGAGTTAGCTGAACATCATCTGTCCTAAGCTGTATTGGTCATAAACATTAAGGGCCATACAGTATTATAGAGCAAAGCAAGTACAAGACCACTGTCTGTATCACAATGTACAGATTTAGCAATCTAAAGGCTTAATGACTTTTCACTCTCGTCTGGATATGATGCACATTATCTTTGAAAAATTAAATATTCTTATTTTTAACAGCTTTTTTTAATTCATGCGTAAAATATTACATTTTTACATGTCCTCATGACAGAAAAGGAACTAATGGTTCAAATTACAGTTATGACTTTTCTCCCTGTTTTATCCTGCAAGTATCAAATCTAGATGATGTGCTTATTTTTGAAGTTTTAACCTCACTGTCCCAATTTGGATTAAAGCTGGGCACAAAAACAAATCTTCTAAATTAATGAAATACCTTCAGAAGCTTTGAAAGATAATATGCTTTGTTACCACCATGACATCCATTTCATCAGGATTACTGAGAGCAAAGTGATGTTAAGAGCCATTGAGTGGTCAGTGCTTAGTGTTTTGCTGATACTGTAATGACAATGATTTCTGGTAGGATTGAGAGTATTAATGTAACACTAGGCCAGCACTGCTCACTAAAATTTTGCAATTTTGAGAGAATGAGACTATTGCCAACTAAGTGGGAGTTGAACTCGCTTCCTGGTCCAGAAGTAAGGACACTACCATTGCACCACAAGAGCCCTGCAATGCTTTTTATTAGCTTGTAGCTCTATTGATAACAGCTGCAATAAAACTACCTCTGCGTCAAACTAACAAAACACAATACAGAGGCAATATAGTTACAATATGAAAATGAATATA